GTGGGACTATGAATAGAGATGATGGAGTTTACTCATTGGATCGCTCATGGGACTGCATCGTCGGAGAGGGGAGATCGGGCAGCAGAGGGCGACAACGTCCTCTGCTGCCCGCGGATAAACGGAGTAGGAAGTGACGCCACCATCAGCGTCAGCTCTGAGGATGTTTTGCAGTTGGCAAACGAAACGTACGTCAGCAAGGTAAAGAAAAACCTTTCCTGTGTTTGTTTTAAAAGAACCAAAAATGGAGGCACTGTTTTTGCTGTTAACATTTTCCCACTATATGTGAATTTCAGTTGACTGTTTTAGAACGATTATGAGAAACTGGAAAATGTTAAAGTTGATTTCAGTAACTCATTGCGGCCATTATGGTAACCACCAATGGCTATTGATGCAGACAGGAACTCGGAGTAGAACGTAAACCTCGTAAGAAAAACAAACAGTTCCTGTGTGAGAACTTAAAGAGCAAGTTACCCCCTACCAGAGTCTTACTCCACTCCCACTTCCTGTTTGAAAAATGCACCAAATGCTGTTGCCTGGCAGACTGAGAGGGTGGAGCCGCTAACAAATACACACCCACACAGGCCCAATCTCAATACTCGCACTTGCACTCTGGAGCCCTTCACTTGCGTGTTCCTGGCCAGGGGTTCGAGTATGTAGGGTGTCCCGATTCTTAAGTGTGGAAGTTGACCACGCCCCCATTGCACCCTTAATCTGCACTTCACCCAAGCAGGGTATCTGCAGGCTTAAGGGAGCCAAATTTAAGACTTTTTAAGACCTTTTTTTAAGGCCACTTTGACCAAATTTAAGCTATTTTTAAAAATTAAATTTAAGCTATAATTTCCAGCTATTGCTTGGAACCGGTGCTAACCACGTCGCGAACGTGGGATTAACCATCCAGTTACCATTAAACTTGCACTTCCCCATGGCGCAAGCTCCCATTAGCTTAACCAGCTAATGTGCTCATCTAAAAATAGCCCCCTTTCACAACCAACTGAATGAGTACAGTTCCGCTTATGAAAATATGATACACATAAAATGCTGAACACTAACTAGAAAATCACGAAAATTTTATAGAAATAAAAATTTCTTGTTTATTGGGTCTTTGGTCATTTAAGACCTTTGGAAACTGTATTTAAGGATTATTTGTCATTTTTAAGGATTTTTAAGGCCTTAAATTTGGAAAAGCAAATTTAAGACTTTTTTAGACTTTTTAAGGACCCGCGGATACCCTGCCAAGTCCACAGCAATGCGGACCTCGGGCAAGGGAACTACCCACAAGTCATTGATGCGGGAGAAATGATTCAAGTTCCTTTTCTGAAAATATGTATTTGTAATTAAATTAGTTCATTTTAGGATGATTATTTGATGCTCTGAATGTTTTAGACAAAGCAGCAAAGAAGTTAAATTTATTTCAAATAATTGCTTTATTGTTTGTTTGAAAGTTGTCAATAAAGGTTTTTGAAAAAAGTTTCACAGCGACCAGATCACGGCATGCGTTGCGATTGATGACGCAATGCTCCCTGTCTCAATTCGGCAATTATTTGCACACTTGTGTACTACGCACTCGAACCCTACTGCGCACTTTCTCCAAGTGCACTTTGCTGAAGACCGCAGGGCGCAGTGTGAGTATTGAGATTGAGCCACAGGCACACAATAACACTGTGACATCATAAAGTACCAGCTAATGTCGTAGGGTACCTCTTAGCCAATAGCCATGGCAGATTTAAATTACAGTGCAGTTTTTACCTGAAGGGGGTACAACACTGACAGTTTTAGGCAGATTATGTAAATCTTAACTAAGATGCACCAACGTGCAAAATTATTGACTATGTATGCCTGTAGCAAACAACAAGATACACATTTATATAGATTATCAGCAAAAAAAGGTTGATTAGAGGGTGACTTGGTCTTTAAAGAGTCTGAGCAACAGAACGGCTTGATGGTCACAAAATTAAATGTTTATGTTTTTATAGATGTGACGGGTTAATGAGACTTCACTTTGTGTCGGACAGAAAAGTCAAATCTTTGATACAGTAGAACAAAAAAGAGGGGTGTGTGTGTGTGCACGCATGTGTGCTTTATTGAAATTTCATCAACTCTCAGCTGAATATTGAGGACAAAAACCTCAAAGAATCACAAAACAAATTATGATTGTGTAAAAACCATAAATATATCAAGATGCCTGAAGTTCTGTGGAGTCCAGCTCTTCTTTAAAGGCTGATGTCTACTTGAGCTTTAGAGCTACAGAGTTGGGGTTTTCACACCCGTTTCACCAACATACATTCACCAAAATTCAAACCACAATATTGACTAATGAAAAGCATGATTTAGGTATAATTAATGAATTTGTTTTGTTTTTACAGATGTGAAAACCCACAAAGACGGAATTGTAACCATGTTGCACAGGTGATGGACACATGGTTAATTAAAGATCATTTTAAACACTCATCAAGCTGCCTGCTTAGGCTCTAGAAGCCTCGACAAACCTTTGAGGTGGATGCATTTCTGAATGTCTAAGGCCTAGTCCACACGTAGCCGTTTTTTTTTTAAAAACGAATATCCGCCCCTCCAGAAACTTGCATCCACACCACCTCGTTTTAAAAAAACTCTGTCCACACGTACCCGGATAAATACGTTGTTAAGGACATGCCAGACCTGTAGGCGGCAGTACTTCCCCCGTTCTTAACCTCGTCCTTCGTCTGTGGTCTTCCGCAAGGAGCAGTAATTCCTCTTGCAAAAACAAACAAGCAAAAAGCGCTTGGACAATTGATAAAGCGAGCGCAGCTCTGAGGGCATCCATGCTGTCGGCTAGTGTAAACACAGGTCGCACACGTGATGTCAGCATTTTTTTGTCGCGGAAAGTGACGTTGCGGACCTTAAAACTCCGGTTTTGTCTGTCCACACGCAGACACCCAAAACGGAGAAAACGCAGATCTTCACTTTGGCCGGAGTTTTTAAAAAGATCCGTTTTCGTGTGAAAAAACTCCGTTTTCGTGTGGATGACAGGCCAAAACGTAGAAAAATATCTACGTTTTGGCAGATCCCCGGCTACGTGTGGACAGGGCCTAAATCTGCCTATTGGTCTCCAAATCAACATGTTCACGTCATCCCAGTTTAGTGACGTATTCCTATAGGGGTCAGAAGAACCACCCCTCTACACTCGCCAAACACTTGCCTAATAAAGTAAAACATCTCGTTTTACTTTACCTGAAGCTACAATTAAAAAGCGTTTCATCATCTGATAGTATTCTCCACCGGATTTAGCACAGACTTACCTGCTGTTGATGGTGGAAGCTGGAGATAACTAAGTTGGATATTTACAGCTCTACATTTACACAGCACACATTAAAAGCTTGAGGTGAGGAGTGTCCTCATTATTTGTCCGAGTGCCATCAGGACACATAATCCAAACATTTGAAGAAAGATGCCTCGGATATTATTGCAGCACTGCTTACAAGCTCATGTAAAATGTCACATCACAGACAAGCAAGCAGAGGCTCAAATAAAAAATCCAAGGATTGCTTTTGTCAATCGTTTAGAGGCAGCAGCCATATTTATGGTGAACAAATGAGTTATCTTTAAATGAAATATTACATTTGCTTATCTGTGCACTATTTTGTTTAACCATCATTGCTGTATATCAGATTGGCGAATGAGTTTTGGTTGGGTCAGTAATTCTGTGTACTTTGTCGCCCTCTGGTGGTTCACAGCTGCACGTTTCAGTCCTGCTCATGGACCAAGTCTTCATTAACAGACCCAATATTCAGACATGAATGTTTTCCTAGTAAGCTAATGGAATCTGATCTGTTTCTCATCTGCCAAACTCTGAACCAGTCCCAACATATTTGCACTACAGGCTAGCTGTTTAGCCGCATACTTACCCACTAACCCTTACCTTAAATAAAAGGGATAAAATAGCTCTGACAAATGTTACACTTTGTTATATAAGACCTAAATATTACCCTTATGTCATTTGATTAAAGTTCACAGTCATGATTTTGAGGGTTAAAACTAAAACTTTAATATATTTCAACTTGCTTTAGTCGTCCTCCAATAAACACACTGTGACAGCTGCCCTGCTGTCACACTTCAAGTAAATGACTGTTAATGTTTCTTTTATTTTGAACAAAGGTGTTTGTTTCCATGGACTGACTGTTTGAGTGACTGTATGACGTGCACACATTCAGTTACTCATCAGTTTTAGTCTGTAGGGGTTTGTATGATTAATGTTTTCTTTGAGTTGGAGCAGCTGTAGCACATCACTTGGCCTAATCAGCACCATTGGGTCATACCAACTCTCAAGGGAGAAGATTCCTGTGTTTATGTATTTAGTTATTCTCTTTTGTAAATAATAGTTGGGTTTTGATAGTAATATGTTTTCATTTGAAGTAACTCAAACAGAATGGACTGATTAGTATGAATTTGTTAGGGGTAGTTTATTTATGGTCTTTGTTTACTGAAGTCTCCCCACCCTAGTGTGTTGGCAGTGGTCTGATCAGCCACTATTTAAGTTGATCCTGTTGGGCCTGTAGTTTTTTTTTTTTTTTTGTACATGTCTGTAGTCAGGTCCTGAGTTTGGGTTACTTTGTTTCTACATCCATTGTCGTGTAATGTTAAGTGCTGGCTGGAACCCTCTTTGGAGAAAAGAAGAAATAGTAATAAATGAAGACGTCAAGAAAATCATCTCCTGGCTGGTTTATGCAGGTCCCTGACTCACACCATGGGTGTACAAATCAAAAGAAACATCGTTGCTAGGCTTATAGTGCAGTACATGAATTGCCGGTGAATCATTTGGCCTGATCTACTAGGTGGCAATCCATTTTTCTACAAGAATCATAAGAATCATAGAGCAGGTGTCATGAAGAACATTGTTGTTGTTGGCTAAAATGTTGTTGCAGGTAAGATGATGAATGTATAAACCTTTACCACATGAGGCTATCATAGGAATCTGTTTCTTTAGTGTTGTGTTTGCAATAGTCTGTAATTAAGTACTTCCATTAGGGTTCATTCACTTGTTTAATTGTGTTTACTGAGGGATCCTCAGGACACAGATCAAATATTTATAAAATCTTCTATTTGCAGGTTAATCTGCTGTTCATCTCCATTCCTCCGGCTCAGACACAGAGCTCCAGTCTTCACAAAAGGCTAAACTTTTCTCCAGTTTTTCAAGATGTTTCCTGCTGCTTCCAGAGTGCAGTCCTTCTGCAAAACAAAGACAGGAGGAGGAACAGAAGTCACGCCCAGCAGTACTAATGCACTGTATAAATCAGTGGTTCTCAACCTTTTTCCCAAGGGACCCCGTTTCTTACCAGTAAAATTTTTGACGACCCCCTCCCATTCTCTCTTCCAGTACAAACAGTATTAAGAAATGATAAAATTGTTCAAGCACATTTTAATATGCTTTGATTCAATAGATAACAGTAATAGTAGGCTCCAGTACAGAACAGTCATTAACAAAACCAAACAGAGCATCATGTGCTTGACAGTTTGTATTATTTTTCTGAACACATTGTTTCTCGTAAACACTGATAAATCAATCATTCCTTTCAATAAACGTTTTACACATAAAAAATACACTGAGCAAAATGTACTTAAATGTGTATATTACTGTTTATACTAGATTATTTACTGTAAACGCTGTGATTAATCAACCAGTCCCATCTTTAATGAACTTTTAACACTTGAAAATAAAACAGTGAGCTGAGCAAAATGTTCTTAAAAGTGTGTTACTTTTTCTGTACTAATTATTTCCTGTCTTAATATCAGTAAACGTTTCACTCATGAAAAAAATGTGAGCAAAATGTAGACTACAAACAAGTAATAGATGAAGTTTTAACCACTTAAAGTGGAGAGGTCCTGGCGACCCACTGAGAGGCTTTAGCGCCCCCTTGTGGGGGTCGGGACCCCCAGGTTAGGAACCACTGGTGTAAACCGTATAAAATATAACTGGTATGATTTTGGCCTGTGGTATAGATTTTTTTACTACACGCTAACTGGTTGTGCTTGCTGATGACATCATCGAGGAGTGCAACAATTTTGAGCTTCAGCACGACAATGCAGCTGAGCATACACTCCTCCCGCTTTTGCGCGAACGTTGTCAATCTGCATCAACTCTGGATGAAAGCAGCTGCTGCAGAGCAGGTGTATGAAGACGTGCTTGTAAAGAGCATGGGGTTACGTCGGTTACACGGACCTGGTTTGGAGTCGGCTGGTGAGCAGACAAGCCCCCAGTTAAAAATGCCAGGTCAGCGTTAACAGCGTGTTTACGCCAAATCCCTTAAATGCTGTTAAGTTAACGCATGATGAACAGACAGGGTTTCAAACATTTTGGACATCTCCTGTGATTTAGCTTTGAACAACTTTCCATCACAGTCCTTACCATTTTTAGACGTTTGTCCCGTTAAATTACAAGTATCTAGTCCGAAACCGGCTCCTCGCTTCCTCCCTCTCTCTCACTCTGTGCTGCTGGTGCAAACCACGGAGGGTCAGAACACCACGGATCAACTGATCTGAGTGCAGTTCAACCAAAGTGAAAGAAATGGTATAAAGCTTCAACTTTATTATTATAATGTTGACTAAAAATTATTTTACTGGCAGTTATTCACTCCTGGAGTAAAACGTAATTTCTATGAGCAAAAAATATATATATAACATGAAATATTAATCAGGAAAGCAGAAAGTGTCTGTTGTTATTTTTCACTTTAGTTCAGACAATTGAGAATTCAGTGTTTTCATCACATTTAGCTTGTGTTTTACTTAAAATATCTTCATCGTTTTACGTGAAATCGTTGTTGCATGGTTTGGAATAAGAAACTCAACATAAAAATTATTTGAGATATTTAGTATTACTGAAAGAAGTTTTGAAAATTAAATGTAATTTATACAAATAATTTTTACTGAAATGTATTCTATCCTTGTTTTACAATTCATCTGGTATGTGAGGTTGTTCAAAAACAGTCCTCTGTACATGTTTACAGAGGAAAATACTATATTGTGATATATATCGTCACTGTATGTGCTTCAAACTTGATCACTTTTAGGCTATATCGCTCATTCCTATCCAGCAGCAGCATTTATTTAAGACGAATGGTGGTGTGTCTTCACCAAGTACATTAGTGTCAAAGTCTTGAGTTACTTATTTATTTTTATTTTGCATCCAAGTTCAAAGCTTGAAAAGCAAAAGATGAAGGAAATCACTCCCAGAGCTGTTAGCGGGAACTTGGAAATACCTTCTGGGCTCAATAAACATGCAAAGAACAAACAATGTTTTAGACCTAAAAGCAAATTACAGCAGATGAACTGCATCAGACAGAAATAAGGCTAAAACTAAATAAGCAAACCATCAGTCTCGTTAAACAGGCCTGGTGTTTCTGGAATAACTGACTCAAGACTTTTGCACTTTTCACCTACCTTTATAAAACAAAGGCGAATGTATTTTTCAAACTGCTTCCGGGATTCTTCTCCGACAAACGCTGTGACGGGAATAGCAGCTAATTTCTGTAAAGAAACAACATACGTAATCTGTGATTATAAATACAGTACAAGAGGAGCTTTAGACTGAAGAATTGTTGTTACCTTTTCCTTAATCATCCATTTTACAAACTTGTAGTCATAGGCCTCATCGTCAGTCATGTGTGTCAGGTCCTGGTCTACAATAACAAAAGGGGGACACTTGTTAGGTGGCTTCTGATCCAGAACCGGGCAGAGGAGAGAGAAGCAGCACTACGCAGTCCTAATCCAGAAAAGAGACGCCCTGTAAAGCTGCAGGGTGTTGAATTATCTGACCACTTCTGAAATAAGCCATTTTTATTAATGTGTCCTGCAACAAGGTAAAAGGAGGAGGGGGAGGTAGAGTTGATGTACTGAATTATTATTCATTCACTTTATAGTTGTGGATAATAAATATGGTTGGAATGGAAATGCAGAATTTGGGAAACAAAATTATTTATTTGAGTCCAAGTATTGCTGCCAAATAATTGGGTTTGTTATCATCAGAATACTCTGAAGTACTGTGATATTACTTTGGACCATACCTCCCACCACTACACTGGACGTAGGTCTACCACTGGTTTATGTTTGGAGTCAATCCACAGCCATCTGATAATGTAATTAGTCCTTTTCACCGTGCCCTCCAGATGGTGCAGAGTTTCTGAGACGATGGGAAAGATGGTGGTTAACTATATTCTTTAAGAGATGTTTAAATGACTAAACCGCCATCAAACCAAGATGACCCTAGATTAAAACTCTGACGTGTCAAACGAAGGGCGAAGTGCATCTCATTAAGGACCGTGAGACACAGGTCCTGGGGGGACGCAGTGTGGGAACCTGGACCTCATCTGCTCTTCCCCTAAGCCACAACCGCACAATATAAATGGCTCTGTGTCTGCTATCGACGGCTAAAGAAACACAATACGTGACATAGAGACTGGAGTGATGCGACGTGCAGTGACTCACTGAGAGATGTGACGTCCACGAGCATGAAGTAACCTCCCTCTGGGATGATGGGAGTCATGCCGACCTCCTGCAGGATGGCAGCTAGACGGTCCCGCTTTCCCTCAAGTTCTTCAGCAAGAGAGGAGAAGTAACACTCGGGCTGGCCCATCAGCTCATAGTTCACAAGGAAACCTTGTGCCACTGCTTCCTGAAGACAAACAGGACACAACTGTATGTGCCTGTTATTCACTCTACTTAAAAAGTGCTCACTGTACCTGTAAAGGTGTTGGACAGGTGTACAGACTATTCATCATGACCGTCTGAAGATGTTTTATCAGGTGCTCGGGTCCTATAGACCAGCCAAGCTAAAAGACATGGTGAGAGGTTAACGTTGTCACAGATGGACATCTTAAAGCTGCATCTACATCCACATCTTCTTACCTTCCATCCAGTAACACTAAACGTTTTCCCTGCACTACCGATCGTTATTGTCCGGTCCCACATTCCAGGCAGAGTGGCTGCAGAGAGACAAACGTCCATCTGAGTATCCCTACCAAGCACACGAGTGATAATTGAACACTGACTGGAAAACACACCAATCTTGACGTGCTGGTGTCCCTTGTAGACGAGCCACTCATAAACCTCGTCGCTGAAGCACAGCGTGTCGTGTTTGATGCACAGGTCTGCGATCATCTGCAGCTCGTCTCTGGTGAAAACCTGCAGGAAGAGGACAGGCCTAGCAACACGTCCGACTTTGTCAAGTTAGGGGCTTAGGCTGCAGCTACCAAATAGTTTAGTGTTCGAATATTCTATCGAATCCTCCACCGATTAATCGAATATTTTACTTGATGACATTTCAAGTGAAACGAGATTGTGCTCTGCTGCTACAAATATGTAAATAAAACAGCAAAACCATAAAACGCTCAGTAAAATGTATTGGTGTTGTCTAGTTCCCTCGTTCCTAGCTGATCCTTATGGTTGATAAATATTTTATGGAACAAAAACCTTTTCATTTACATTTAGGGTTTTTATTAAAATCTCTCATCTTTGTCAAAATAACATATCTAAACTTATCCACGTGTGAGCGGTAGAATTTAATTACTTCATTAACATGTTCAGTAGTAAGCTACTGGAAATGCTAATAAAATAAAATTTCTGCTGCTCAGAATGTAATGCTGGCATATATAATTTATTATGTACAGGATGGCAACATAATCCAGTCAAAATTATATTCAAATATGAAGCGTTTGCGAATTATATGCTAAAGTGACTTGTCATAGTCCTGCTGCAGTGTGGGGAGTAGACTCGTAGCAACAACCAGGTAGCTGCAGCAGCTCTGCCCCACACCGCTGCAGACATGATAAATGACCCGCACTTGTATAGTGCCTCTCAGAGTAAGGACTCCAAAGTGCTTTACACTACAGTGTATCATTCATCCATTCACACACACATTCACGCACTGATGGTGATGAGCTACGATGTAGCCACAGCTGCCCTGGGGCGCACTGACAGAGGCGAGGCTGCCGAGCACAGGCGCCACCGGTCCCTCCGACCACCACCAGCAGGCAACGTGGGTTAAGTGTCTTGCCCAAGGACACAACAGCAGAATTCTCTGTCCGGAGCCGGGATCGAACCTGCAACCTTCCGATTACTGGACAACCCGCTCAACCTGTTGAGATACTGCTGCCCCAACATCCACATATCAACAGGATGGTGGGGATTTTTCTTCCGCTTGTACAGTTTAGTCATTCACAACCATCAAGTTTGATTTCTCTGAACCTCACTTGATCGTGAGCATGCTTACATTAGCGATTCTGCTGGTTTCACTCTGATCCCAAACTTTAGACCATTTCTGCCTTTTACGATGCTTCGTGTCTTTGCTGGTTTCTCTATTTTCCTCCACGGCACCATAGATCACCACATTGTGCACCAGTAAAATGTCTGTGGTGCGCACATTTAATGAAGCTTCGAATCAGTAAAAAATGAATCAAACCATTTGAATCATTCGAAGATTCGTTTCAGCCCTAAAGTGGCTCTTTAAAAAATAGCAGCCAGTTCTCACACAGCAGGCTGTGTGTGTGTCTGGTGTGTGATCCGTCCGAGCAACACAATGAAAGGCAGCCGAGGTGTGATCGGAAAACACACGGCCTGAGTGCTCACTCAGTTTGGTCCAACCGTTTGATTTAAAGGTGACAAATGTGTTTTCTTCACTGCCTCATGTGTGAGGAAAGCCAAGTGATGGTCCAGGTGTGTGCTCACCTTCCCAATTGGGTTGTTTGGAGTGTTGATGATGATGGCTTTCGTCCTGGAGGTGAATTTATCAGAAAGCTCGTCCGGATCAAGAAACCAGTCAGCACTCGTGACTGTCTTTGTTCCAGACTTCTGAAATTTCACAAAATGTATTATAAAATATGATTTTTTTTTATATCCGCTAGAATCTCAAGCACACACACAGTGTTAGATGATGTGTGTATCAGATCTGAAAAGCCTCACTAAGCTGGGATTGTCAGCAACTTGGAAATATACGTATTTTCAGTTGAAATCACAATAAACGGACACAAACAGCACTTTTGTGACTAGTTTTAGACACGGCTGACACTTGTGGGTAGGGCTAGGCATCGATTGGAACCAAGACTAATGGGCCATTCCCATCTGTACCGGGTCGGCCCGGGCCGGGTAGCGTAGGTTGTTTACATATCTGGGTGGCCTGGTATTTTTCCGGGCCAACCAAGGCTCATTCTCAGCCCTCTTCTCGAGGTGGTCTGCTTCAGGCCGACCAGGGCCAACACACCCACTGCTGACAGCAAATTCACACCTTCCATTAGAGCAAGCCTCTGATTGGTGGGTAGAATCAGCCCACATGGGCTTAAGACAAGGATGTGTGGAATCAACCGGGCCCGGCTGGGGCTACCCGGCCCGGGCCGACCCGGTACAGATGGGAATGGCCCACAAGTTCAGTTTTTCCTGGAATAGTTCAACTTTTTTATTCCAATTCCATATTTTGATCCCAAGCCCATCGAACGGAAGAAGAATCCACCTAAAGTATTGTGGAAAATGTGCGGAGGAGTTCTAAAGTGTGGATTCACTTTAGAACGTTCATTGAATAAAAATTCATGGATAAGTTCAGACTATTTTATCGAGTCCTTAAGTTAGCCGGTTCAATTAAAACATGTAAAGTTTTTTGACCCTTCCTCTTGAAAGATCCGAATCAAGATTTGATAGGAACTGGAATCCAAAGCAGGAATTTCAATCAGAACTGGAATCATTTGTGGGCCATTCCCATCTGTACCGGGTCGGCCCAGGCCGGGTGGCCCCAGTCGGCCCCAGCCTGGCCCGGTTGATTCCACACACCTTTGTCTTAAGCCCATGTGGGCTGATTCTACCCACCAATCAGAGGCTTGCTCTAATGGAAGGTGTGAATTTGCTGTCAGCAGTGGGTGTGTTGGCCCTGGTCGGCCTGAAGCAGACCCCCTCGAGAAGAGGGCTGAGAATGAGCCTTGATTGGCCCGGAAAAATACCAGGCCACCCAGATGTGTAAACAACCTACGCTACCCGGCCCGGGCCGACCCGGTACAGATGGGAATGGCCCAGTAGATTCCAACAATGCCCAACCCTACGTGTGGCTGGGCCTTTGTATAAACTTTCTTGTCTGAAATTAGTCAGGGACACATAAACTTTTTCTGTGGCTTCAGCTCCAACAACTGGTAAGTCTACGTCCCATAAAAATATCTGTGAGCATGTCAAAGTGATCTAACCCATCTCAGCTTTTCTGTTCACATTTTACAGCGACGTTAACAATAAACGAGACGCTGGAAGGTTTTTCTGTTCTGTTTGAATGATAGAAACGTCTGACTTACAGGCCGTAAGGGGATCAACACAGGCTTGGCCCCAGCCATCCGCACCATAGGAACGTAGCAATCAAAGAAAGGTTCAATTATGATGACCTGTTAGATAAAACAACATTGTTTATGTTCTGTGAGCACCCTGTACGTGATTATGAACACCAATAAAAAGGCTTATAAAAATCAAACCGTAAATGAAAAGGCCCTGACCTCATCTCCTTCCTCGACCAGGCCCTGGATGGAGTTAAATAAGGAACCATAACCTCCAACTGTGACCAGGACTTCTTTGAGGGGGTCAATGTGACGGCCGTACACCTTCCCATAAACCTGAGAAAGGGCCTTCACCAGAGATGGGTGACCCTGATCAGTCGACACAAGACAAAGCAGCAGTTAACGCACAAGAGCTAGATACCACAAAACCTCAAATGTTTAAAGGTGTGGTTCACTCATTATATCAGTACATATGCAGTGGTCTCTAGTAGGAATGAATGCTGTATAAGTTGTACTCTGGGTAGAAAAAGCCCTGGTGCGCCTGTTTCAGGACGTAGACGAACACCAGACTACAGTAGTCGGTGTCTTTTGGTATTCGGATATCTCTCCTCTGATTGGCTAACAGCAGTGCATCTCTGCCAGTAACTCTGTTTGCTCTGCAACTCTGATGTTTTATCTCCACAAATAACACAAGTCTGGAGGAGTTCTGCTGTGTGGTGGAGTTGCTAATACTAATGGTTAGCTTCTACTAGCCGAGACGTCCTCTGTTGTTTCCTGGATGCTAAAACAACAACAGCATCAGCTAACAAACACCTTTAAGTCGCTTTGGACAAAAGCTAAATACATAAACAGAAACATAACTTGTCCACAGCCTCATCACTTCCTGTATTGACTACTGCAACGCTCTTCTCTTCGGTCTTCCTCACAAATCCCTCCATAAACCCCAACTTCTCCAGAACTCGGCAGCCTGCATCATTTCCAGAGCTCCCTCCTTCCACCACATCACCCCTGTTCTTCAGAAGCTCCACTGGCTCCCAGTCACTTCCAGAATCCAATTCAAAATTCTCCTATTTACATTGAAAGCCATCCATAACCTAGCTCCCCCGTACCTCTCAGACCTCCTTCATCCTTCAACCTCCACCCGTTCCCTCAGGTCCTCCTCCTCCATCCACCTCTCTGTCCCACCTTTCTGTCTGGTCACTATGGGGAGCAGGGCCTTCAGCCGCTCTGCTCCCCAGCTCTGGAACTCACTCCCTCCTGACCTCCGTAACATTGATTCCCTCACTCTCTTTAACGCCAGACTCAAAACCCACCTGTTCCGTCTAGCATTCTAATAGTTACTCTCTTTGCTCCAATCTGTCTGTTTGTTTTATGCTGTTTTATCTTTTATTGTTGTGTATTTTATCTCTGTAAAGTGTCCTTGAGTGTTCAGAAAGGCGCTGTTGAAATAAAATGTATTATTATTATTATTATAACTAGACTCCTCACTACTGTAGAAAAGCCAGAGTCTAAAGCACATCCGCTGTCTGTGCTTGACCTTTCTCAAGAGGTCGGATTTGCTTTTGCTTGCTACGTAACAAGTTAGCAAAACATTTTTGAGCATGGCTGTGACAAAGTAAAAGCTGCATCTGGCTGTGGGACCATGTTCCATTTATTGCAGTTTACTCAGTCAGAACACACCAGAAAACCTTGGTTACAATAATGATCATTTAAAAAGAGTCATTCGTCTTCAGGAGCAAAAGTTTGCTTCCTCAGGCTATTCTGAAAATGACTTCCTGTAAACTTCAGTCTGGATAATAGTGTTTAACTTTTCCTCACCATTTTCCCTTTAATCCTGCCTAGGGCTGCTCAATTAATCAAATTTTAATCACGATGACGATCTGAGTTTTGAACGATTATAAAAACAAAACAAGCCGATTATTTGCTCCTCCCACTTGCGCTGTCCTGAGTTGCAAATGAAGCGCTCCTCCCACAGTGTTGCCAACTTGGCGACTTTGAGGCTATTTCTAACAGCTTCTCAGACCCCCTTCTTGACTTGTTAAATCTTAAAAATACCTAGCGAACACCTCAGAAACATCTCTGGTAACCCTTAGCTACTTTCTGGATAACTGTCGTCGACATTTCCTGCAGGTTAGCTAAACACTCCGCCTGCGCTCCGGACCGTTCTTCAGGACATTAGGAAAGGGAATGATGCAGTGATGTGTCGGTCGCTAAAGAAACGGCTCTCAGAGCCGGCTCCCTGTTGGATTAACCAGAGTGAGTGACACACACACCGCACCTGCGGACTCCTGAGCCGCTAAAAACAGCTAAATGTGTGCGTGCGGCGTGCTAAACCGTGCAGCTTGCCCCGATTGCTGTGAGACCGGGTTGGGGGGTGCAGCTGTGGTTGGGACAATTATTACATTAACTGATGGACCTGTACATAAATAGTTTATAAATAAGGTAGAAATAAGTTCCTCACGCTGATAAATAATAACTAATCTCTCTGAGGACACGGTGCTAGTGCACTCTCCTACAGCACCTTGACACGACTAAATACATACTATGCAACATTTTGTGAACATCAATTTATTTGCATTTATTTGTTATAAATGCCACTGTATAATTCTTGCTGTCAGTATTTGCAAGATATTGGTATTTGGGTCTGTACTGGTTAGACTTAAATGAGTTAAACCAAGGTCTACAGCCCTTGGGTCATAGACTATGAGCTATAAGTATATCGGTCTTTTTATACTGGGAATCAGGAGTTATTTTAGTGATCATCTTGTTTCTTATTTATTTTTGTCCTGATTGTGCCCTGAGCAATTTTATGAAAGAATAAAAACAAATAAAATCAACATAAATTGAAAAATCGTCCTAAATGATCGTGATCTCAATTTCAGTCACAATAATCGTGATTATTATTTTTGCCATAATCGAGCAGCCCTACTGTCACCCCGTCTTTTCTCCTTGTCCCCAATACATCATTATTGAAATTACATTGTTGATGCAAAACTAAACTCATTTCCTCCTTTAAAAGCAAATGTGAACAAAAAACTTAAGAGTTGGCTCAAGATGTAGTTCTAACATCTTCAATATTTATAAAGCACCTCCAGATCTGCCTTGATGTTATCTATATGAGTAACTTGTTTGACTAGACGTGACAGAGTTTGATCCATTGTGAGCACAAGATAAAGGCCTAATGTTGTACTAATGCTGCTACCTGGTGTTAAACAGCAGGTTATCACCAGTGTCCAAACACCACTAAGCAGTTTCTGCCAGCTAAACACAGCAGAGTACTTAGACGTCACTGCTGCCGGCACGGGGAGTTTATCCTTTATTAAACAGCCTGCTTAAAAACATATTAAATCAAAATTAAAAGCACACCCACTGCTCTCAGCACCACTAAACCCTACAGCTAATCCAAAGGGGTGCAGCAGGAGCTCTGATGGAAACGCAGCAGAGTACACACTTCTTTTAAATGAGTGTTTCCTGTTTTACTCCATGTGAAATCCAGATTATAATTAAAACTTCCTTCCCTCATTTATAACCAAACTTCATCTTATTTCCACATTGTTCATTTGTTTAAAGTCTAATGTTGCCGATGTTCTTGAGGCCCTGAACTCAGGCAAGGAATATTCTTATTTTGATCTGCAATAAATAAATCAAGCAAACTAAAGGTGTTTTTTTTTTGTGGTATTTTTTCTCATCTGAGCGTTTCTGTCTTATTATCACACATGACCTCTGTTTATGTTTATTTATTTAGCAGACGCTTTTATCCAAAGCAACTTACAAATTATAACCTATAGGGCATGTTGTGATCTGTGGGGGAAACCGGAGTACCCGGAGGAAACCCACGCATGCATGGGGAGAACACGCAACTCCACGCAGAAAGGCCGCAGCCGAGTTTCGAACCTGCAACCTTCGTGCTGCGAGGCAACAGTGCTAACCGCTGCGCCACCATGCAGCCGTATAGGACCTATAACAATCAGACAACTCCTAAATTTGTCAGTGGTCCAATGCTTGTTACAACGTTTAGATTAATTCATTTTGCAGATGCTTTTATCTAAAGTCTTAGCCCTGAAAAATCCCACGCATGCATGGGGAGAACATGCCAACTCCAAGGCTGCAGCCAGAATTTGAACCTGAAACCTTCCTGGCCTACAATACTAACTTAAGCCAGTATTAAACTGGACTGAGGCCATTGGTGACAAAGTGTGAGACGCATTCACAAGAAAGTTTCCAACATGTCTACAAATGTCAACATCCTCTCACGGGCTGCAGAGCCTTGCTCCTGAGTCACTGGAACTTTGAACATGTTTAAAAAAAATTGCATTTTTTCTCTTGAAATGGTAAAAGAGTCGCAGCATGCTCTTTGTGCCTGTCTGGAGTTTCCCAGCTGCTTCTCTATTTAATCAGAAGACTAAGAAACCTGAGATAACCTGGATAGATGGCATCCAAAATTTGGTAATAAAATCAAGATAAATGCAAACAATTTGAGACTAGGTTAAAGCTCTTTCATACAAAAATTCAAAGAATATGTTTGCACAACACTTGCAATTTATTTGATATTGCATCATATCCATTTACTTAAAATTAGCTGCAAATATTTCGTATGGACCAACTTAGTAAGGCCAGCTGAAATGTTTAATGTTTTTCCACAATTTTTGCAGTTTTGACAGAAATTAATATTGGGTATTTTTATAAATGTACCTTTTTGAGGCCTAAAAGATGCCCATTACACATCATGAATCTCTGTGTTGGCTGTTCATGAAAAGGTTGAGCAAGGATGTTGATTGAGAAACCTCTGTACCTCTGTAACTTGAGAAGGCCAGCCTTCTCCCCCATCCATTTGTGAATAAAGCCCCTGACAAACTGGGAGCACACGGGAGTGACGTGGGGAAGCCTCGGAGGAGGTTTCTCTGCGTTAACTCTCCATGTTTTGGAGACTCAGGGTAAAATGTCTTCCTTGTTGTCATGTGTATTTATTTCAGGGTCCAGGGTTATGGAGATTAAATATTATCTAACAGATAATTGGAGAATGCAGGTATGCAGAGCTGATGAGGTGAAGGCTTTGAGGCTGGAGCAGAGTGGGGGCTGGTTGAGCCACACACATGGACATGGGGGCTGGTTGAGTCACACACATGGACATGGGGGCTGGTTGAGCCACACACATGGACATGGGGGCTGGTTGAGTCACACACATGGACATTACAAATAATCAATTTACTCTCTCTCTCTCTCTCTCTCTCTCTCTGGGTGTGTCGTCCTTTAAGGTAATATGGGATAAAATCAAATTACCTATCAATTAATAACTTCAGTTTCATGTAAAGCTTATATTACCGAAGCAGCGAAACACGAAAAACAAAACAGGAAACACTTCATGTGAAGTTTAAAGTTAAAAGTTTGCTGTTCAGACGTACAAATCCTCTGGTGTACTGGTTCAAGCGGTCCACTGCCACAGCCTTCGCCAAAGCCTCTTTGACATAAGAAGGTGGAGGAATGTCTGGGTAGCCTTGGCCCAGGTTAACGATGGATGGGTCAGCAGCCACAGAGGTAAACGCCACCCTGTGGAGACGCAATTAGTAGTCACTCAAATGAACAGAGTTGACATGTTAGCATTGGATTCAGGTTTTTGAGACAATTCCTGATTCCTCTGCAGCTCTGACCTGTTGATACTGATTTGGCTTTTGCAAAAAACTATAGATTTAACAAAATACTGCTTTTTAAATTTCAGATTAACCTATGACATGTAACATGATTACGAAGTTAAAAAGGTCCACATAGAAAAGTAGTTATTACTAGTGTGAATTTGTGCTGAGCAATATGGAAAAACGGTGAGTTTTGCCTTTAAAATCATTGTCTACACACACACACATATATATATATATATATATATATATATATATATATATATATATATATATATATATATATATATATATATATATATATATGTATGTATAGTGGTACTACTTCCACTAGTAGTACATGTGATGTATCACTTTACAGTGTCTTCTGAACTCAGGAGCTGTGATTTATTGTGTAATGCCTGAAACCTGCTTTAGATCTGATATTTACATTACATCACAACCTGCTGTTAAGTCTGAACGCTGTTTACAAACATTATTAGTTTGCATTTTAACAATATTTCTTCTCTCAGCTTACTAACCAGGTGAACAGGTGTGCCTCTGCTGTTTATCTCACACCTCTGACTGGAAAACTGCTCATTTAAGTGTACTGAAGCTGTTAATGTGTACTTCAGAACTCAATCCATGTAAATGAGTGCAGGTAAAAGGTCTTTGCCCTGCAGGGTGAACTGTGAGCTGATTTTGAAGTAACCTAGCAAAGCGTGTGTGTGTGTGTGTGTGTGTGTGTGTGTGTGTGTGTGTGTGTGTGTGTGTGTGTGTGTGTGTGTGTGTGTGTGTGTGTGTGTGTGTGTGTGTGTGTGTGTGTGTGTGTTGGGGGTATAAGTGTGAGTGGAAAACAGAAATTGTTTTAACATTGTTGATTAGCAGTATTCTTTGCTTTTACGTAGTACGAGTGCTGTGTATAATTTATCATAAACTCCTTCCGTTTGGAAAACGGTAAAGCTGCTTTCCAGAGTTTTCCCCGTTCAGAAATGATGTATGATTTTTCAGAAATCCGTATAAGTGATTGTCTCATCATGTACTGTGATATAATGTAAGCGATACGATTTTTTTGTTGTTTTTTTTAAAGCACGGCCCCTGCCCCACAGAGATCCGTGCAATAGGAAACTGAGCACCGACCAGAACTTTCCAATAGCGTTAGACTACAGCTTATTTGCTTCAAATTTAAGGAATACCTCGGCTGATGCAGAGTTGATGAACTTTTCACGGACAAGAAAGTCTCTAAAATATAAATATATGAGAACACGACATGACATGAGAATAATACTTGTAAAACAACGTGTTTTAGCGGTTTGTTAAACAAACAGCAGAGTTTCTGTGTGATATGCTTGTCAGCCACTAGATGGTGCCATCAGAGAAGAGAAATACTCCGGAAAGAAGCTTTAACCTGATGTTGTATAAAAGCAGTTAGAAATAAAAGGAAGCCTGACTGGTGATATTTTTAGATAACTAGTCCTGCACACCTGCACACACTTCATTTACTTACCAGACATTTTTGTCCAGTCCCTCTATTCTTCTTGCAGGTGTGTGTTTGGATGACATCGTGTACTGCAAGACAAAAATCAAATCCATGACATTTTTTACATCCAACAATTTCCACAGGAATATTAATCTGTCCAAGATGCAGACGAAATAAGTAGATCTCGCATTAGGATGACCATACGTGCTCTTTCCCCCAGACATGTCCACTAACCCTAACCCTGTTTTTTCATCCAGGAGCGGGGATCGAATTATGGGGGGGCTAGATATCTTTCAGGGAAAGATCCATTTTCTACCTATATTACGATATTTATGGACTCTCAGCGTAGCGGGATTCTGTTGAGCGGAGAGGACGCAGCGCTGCGTCCGGCGCACGATACATTCTCAAGGTGGCGCAACAAAACCTTATTATATTAACAAATGATCGTTCATATCTGTTTATATCCTCTGGTACTGACGCGCTCCGCTCATCGTGTGCTGCGGTGATTTCACCTCACTGACATGGCATCAAAACGCGTACTCCGCTTTGCAGTCAGGAGATCCCTCTGATCTGCGTAGTTCAAAAGTAACTGATGAGGTGAAAAAGTAAGAATCCAGGCATCAGTTTTTCTGGAGAGTTTAGAGGAGATGCAGGAAGATGAGAGACAGACAGGACATGAAAATAGTTAAACAAAGCAAAGCGTTGAAAAGTAAAATGTAGGTAGATTTATCTCCACCACACGTTTTATAAAACAATAAGTTATACACATGTAATATTTATACATTTAATAAAATTCAGATCACCTTCAAAACTCAGTCACACACCCAGGGCCGTTTCAAGGCATTTTGGGGGCCAAGGCAAAACGGAACCCCCCCATCACAGGGACCCCCCAGAAGCCTCTGTGTAATTCATACTCTGTCCAGGAGTATTAATTATACAGTGTTTATAAAAACACCTCCGACATCACTGACATGTTCTAATATTGTCCGACGAAAACCAAAATTGTCACACATGCCGTCTCATCTGCTTCTTTTCTAAACTCACAAAATCTGTCAGTAACAAAACCATTTGAAAGCCACTATTTGTGGATTCTCTGAAAGTTTCCATGGAGTCCATGACAAGATTTATTTATTTTTTTATCACTGACCCTATCGTCTAATCTCACAGCTGAAACAAGCATCCTTAATAATCTGTGCAAAGGAAGCTTACCGATGCTGTAGTAAAACACAAGGTAGGTATAATAATTTCTTATTAATAAAACATTGTTGCAGAACTAAAGCAGCAGAAAAAAATTGATTTTGCAATAAATATGCTAAATATTTACATATGAATTGTTTTAGAGCCTTTTTGTTGGCAGAATCTGATAATTTTAGCTCTTCACCTGGAGAAAAAATGGGTCCCAATGTGGTTTGTGTGGTTTTGCCATAGTGTGACGTAGGGCAGGGCAATTAATCAAAAATGTATCGTTATCGAAATTTCTGACTCTTATCGAGATAATTTTTCCCATGTCAATAAATTTGATAATAAAAAAATTGAAAGATGCGTGTAGGTTAGCAGTGCTCATGTCCCTTTAAGAAGCTGTCACCTTGAGTCACGTAAAAATGTGACTACATAATTCATGTGACAGCCCCATCTAGTGGACAACTTTTGTTTCTGCGCATACCTGTAGTTCTCGTCCATTTATCGTTATCGAGGTGAAATCCTCAATATATCGTGATATTGATTTTAGGCCATATCGCCCAGCCCTAGTATGATGTCATCGGTAGTCACAGATCTCCTGTACTCTATTTTGGAAATATGGTCACCCTATCTCACATTGTATTTTAAACTCCACCAAATTCCAATCACACAGTTGTGTGTTGGCTGAATTCAAGCTTTTTAAAGCGGACTCACCTGTGAGGTGCAAAGCCTTCTTCTCCAGGTGAACTGACTTGTAAATTTGATAATGTTTTGGAACGGCTGAGAAATGCTCATGCTGAAAAAAACAAACAAACAAACAAAAAAAGACAGAGAAAGGTTTATGGAAACAAAACACAAGTTTATCTCTACATTTGGGCAGCAATAGCTCCGGAGGTGAAGCGGGTTGTCCATTAATCAGTTGTGTGATTGATCCCAGCTTCTGGCTGAGAATGCTGCTGTTGTGTCCTTGGGCAAGACCCATAACACACTTTGCATGCTGGTGGTGGTCGGAGGGACAGCATGTGCATGGAGGGAATAGATGCATAATGGTCACTACAGTGGACAGGTACTTAAAATTATTTATTTTTTGCTATTAAGCACAGCTGTTGAAGACTTTATTGCATTTGAACCCCTCCATTTGTACTTCAGTAAGTCAAGCCAACATATTTCATGTTCAGATTGCACACTGTCCACTGAGGTGGACATGTAATAAATTATTTGTAAATTACATTTTACAAAAAATATGTAAATATGAAATTTGTTTCATTCACACCTAAAGATGAATGAAAAAATTGTTTAAAAAATCATGGTTGAAGATTTCATAATTCATGCATCAAAGGGTTAATGACTGTATGTATTGTAAAGCACCTTGGGGGGTTGTAGAAACCTGGAAGGTGCTTTATTAAAAACGGGCAATTTTATCAATTTTATTTGTTTTGTGTGCTCAGTTGAATTTATTTTGTGTAAAAAGTGAAGTCTTAAATGTTTATATTGTTTAATATTTGAGTCTATAAAGCAACACAATATCCTTAGAGGTTAAAACACACAAGCCTCCAAGTTAAACTCAACCACACGATGGCGCTAATGTGCTTCACAGCAGGATTCATGAATGCCTTCTGTTTTTGCTTTGGCACACCTTTTCAAGCCACATATTTCTGTTAAACGTCTTTTTATAGGTTAGACCACAGAAAACATTTTCATCTGGTTGTTCGCTTTGAGCATGCATTTGCAGCACAACTGGGTTAGCTACATGTTAGCAAACGGCTAGCTAGCTTTAGCCGGCGTCATGAGCTAACTGTGGCTAATGTTGTGGCTGCAGACCGTCACATGCCCTCTCTCTTCTCTTCCCGTCCAGTCCCGAGGAGAATCACATCCACCTGACTGTAGAGCACACGCACAAAAACAAGTTTCTTCGCAGAGACGGCAGCCATAACTTACTTCCTACCGGTCAACTCCCGGTGATTCGGTAGAGCCGTTCGGACGCTGCAAGAAAAATGCTGCGTTCAAAGACATCGGATATTTTACAATACATCTGTTAATACGATACTATGGAAGTTTATCTCTGCAACTTGGATTAATCCGTTTGTGCCCAGATTATTTTCAGAGTTGTACGGCGTACCATTTTATCAGTTGAGTCCCTCGGAATCATGTTTATACAATTATTATTATTATTATTATTATTATTATTATTATTATATTTTGTACTTTGTTTTGAAGAAAATAGCATTTTTATGACTGGCAACAATTGTATTAGTCACACAGCTTGCCAGTAAGTCAAATATCACCTAATAATAATAATAGAGACACACTAATACAGTAATAACAAAATAATAATATAGTCATAATACATATTAACAGAAAGGTCAAGCCTCGGGTTCCCCTAGTTTAAATTTCAAAACAAGAAACAATTTGAACTGGTTTCTTTATTTCCAATTCTTTTATACTCAAAATCTCACCACACAATTTTGTCTTAGAACCACTAACACATACATGTATACAGCATATTTCTTCACATACATTCCATCATCTGTTATGCATGTTCTACTCAGTGTGGTACTTCTTGAAGCACTCCACGCGTAGTGGCACATCACACTTTCCACATACAAATGCTGTGCATCCGCTACAGTTCTTGCATTGCTTGTACCTGCTACCAGCGTTGTAACTATTGATGCTATTAAACCTGGTGGCATCAGTTATCGCCACTGCCATTGAAGATCTTCTGCCTTGGTTACTTGGTTTTGTTCCAAGCGCTGTGAGGAGGTGTTACGTCCCCGACATGAGATGGTAAAATGTGAAGGATGGGGATAACATAAAAACTGGCGGAGGAGTTTAAAATGGGTTTATTTGTACAAAAAGGTATTAAAAACACAAGCAACCAGATGGCGAGCATTATTAAGATAATGCTAAACAAAATACTCTCAAAAAGGTTAACATTAAAAGAGCAGTTACCAACATTAAAAACACCTGGCTAAAACTTATTAAAAGTTTCACCAAAACAGAAGGTGTTTCGAAATCCACAATGTTGATAAAAGTTCTAAAACAATTCATTGACATAAAACACCTGGTTAAAACTTATGTTTAAAATTTACCGGAACAGAAGGTGTTTTAAAAACGAAAATAAAATTGCAACAAACGAAGTTAACCTTAAAAACCAACGAACACAAGATCCCACAGGATCACTCAAGAGTTTAACTATAAAAGTTAAACTCATCAAAACGAAGGATCGAACAAACGAAGGAAGGGGTTAAAACAAAACGAAGAATGGAGAACAGCAGAACCCCTGCACTGCTGTCTCCCAGACTGCTGAAGGCACAGCTTTTTTATCCTAGGTGTGGCTCATCAGGAGGATTCAGCTCAGCTGTGCTCCTCAGCAGCCTGGAAGAGAGGAGGAGGAGGGGCGGTGTCCAGTCAATCACCAGAGCTGGGTGATCCTGGCTGCTTTTTCCCCTCTTCAGGCTGGCAGCCGTGACACCCCCACACATAAACGAAAGAAAAAGGATAAAAGTTAGTACAGGACAAAATAGTAACTTTTAAAACTTTTTCTTTAAAAGCGAGGATCACATCAAAACAAGAGAGACCCCCGATAAAACAATAAACAGGCTATCTATTCCCTACTCTTCCTGCACTTCGCAGGCGGGCAGATTAAGCACATGTGCTGTTGCACATTCTGACCCGGACGAGCCCCCATTTATGTTACGTCCCCGACATGAGATGGTAAAATGTGAAGGATGGGGATAACATAAAAACTAGCGGAGGAGTTTAAAATGGGTTTATTTGTACAAAAAGGTATTAAAAACACAAGCAACCAGATGGCGAGCATTATTAAGATAATGCTAAACAAAAATACTCTCAAAAAGGTTAACATTAAAAGCGCCTGATCCTGGCTGCTTTTTCCCCTCTTCAGGCTGGCAGCCGTGACAGGAGGGTCTACCAGCCTGTTGAGATCCATCTGCCTGCTTTTCCAGGACCTAAATCAACGACGACAAGCATGATAGATGCATGAATGTGCCATGTTTTTGTTTGCGTATGGTGCTATTGATGAATCATCAACATCATCCTTTCTACAGTGTCATGTCCTATATGTAGAATGTTCTGTAAAAGCAAAATCACATTTTAGTTGGTGATGTTGGTCTGGATATCACCACTGTTGCTCTTGTCAACTGAAGAAACGACCTCGAGTCAAACCTCACAAACTCGATTGTGACATTGCTAAATAAATACAGCCTTGTGCTCCTGTAATAGCACCAGCTGTTCACCATGGCACTGTTCAGGGCACAGCCAAAGCATGGCCACCATCGCTTCTTGGACCGGTTGTTGACTCTAGCAGCTGGCAAACTGGTCATGCAGATCCTCTCCTCTCATGTGTGTGTTGTAGTCATGGGCTGTAGTCCTTGGGCCATCTGACCTTGTCCATGGTCCGCTTCTGTCTGTTCCATCTCTTCGCCTCAGTTTTGGTGAATTCCCTCTCCATGTTCAACACCACACTGACCGCGTTGTTATCATTCCACCGTATAATCAGCTTTTCTGCCTCAACCAGAAACTCCGCTCCTGTGGGTGTCTTGTTGAAGGTCTGGGGTGCTGTGAAGGGAACATTATGGAGCTGAGCTTGTCGTATCATGCCACAGCTGCCATAGCCTCTCAGAGTCATCTCATCCAACAGGGACGGGGTTGTGAAGAGGTTGTTGAGGTAAAACTTGACTCCAGGTGGCACTTCAGCTTTCTCTGCCAGGTCAAGAACCACACTTGGGCCCTGACCAAGTCCAGTTTCCACCTAATGTGTGTGGCTTCCTACACATAGCTGCATCTGATGGACAAACCCAAAGGAGGATGCTAAGCTCCATATTTTATCCCTAAACCGAACAGGCTTCCCTCTGCAACCACACCTTCCAAAATATTCAATCATCATCTCATCTACTGCCACAAGTTCTGCTATCGAGATTGCATTGTTCATGTCATTCAGTTGCTCAAAAATGGGATGCGCCTTGAACACTGGGTCAGCTGTCATCTTCATGGTGTCTACTAATGGGCTGCATGGTGGCGCAGTTGTTAGCACTGTTGCCTCGCAGCACGAAGGTTGCAGGTTCTAAACTCGGCTGCAGCCTTTGTGCGTGGAGTTGCGTGTTCTCCCCATGCATGCGTGGGTTTCCTCTGGGTACTCTGGTTTTCCTCACAGATCACAACACGCCCTATAGGTTATAAATTGTAAGTCGCTTTGGATAAAAGTGTCTGTCGAATAAATAAACATAATAAACATGAGACATCATCTCAACAAACATGTTCCTCTGCATGGCATCTTTTACAGCAGTGTTGCTGACATCATAAACGTCTGGCCAGAGAAGACTCCGCCTTGGGACTGTGTTGTATCCACTGATCAACAGAATAAGAATGTCAGAAGTTCATCCTCGGTCAGGTTGAGTTATTTCCCCTTTTTGTTTGTTATAGAGATTAGACATTTCCAGTGTGGCATCTCTGAGGGATTTGGGATATGTGAGGAAGAAATCCACTGGATCCCCACGATCCCCAGTGAGTCGTGGAGGATGGCTGCTTATACTGAGCCAGGATTCTCTGGAGGTTTCTTCCTGTTAAAAGGGAGTTTTCCTCTCCACTGTCGCTTTATGCTTGCTTAGTATGAGGATTGCTATAGTCACTGACACTAGTCAGTGACTTGATGCAATTTGCTGGGTTCCTTATATAGGAAACATTATTTCTGATTGGCTTAATGAACTGTCCTGAATTGGAATGTTTATTATGTGAAGTGCCTTGAGACGACTCTTGTCGTGATTTGGCGCTTTATAAATAAAATTGAATTGAATTGAATTGGATCATCTGATGTGAAGCCAGAATCATGTTCTTTGGGGACATAGCAAGAGATGTGATCTTTTTGTTGCCTTGTACTGGTGCTTTGGCCACATTCTTGATTTTAATATTTTTATTTCCTGTTTAGGTTCTTAGTTTTGTGGAGCATGGTCCAACAATCTGACTGGTCACCTTTTCATTTGTGCCACTGAGCTTTCTAGTTACTTTGTGACTCATTAATCCCTATTTCACATGGGAAGCATCAACAGCGCAGAGCGGCAGCAGAACGTCGCTGCTTCAAGTCCATTTGGAGTGTTTCAAACCAGCTGTGAGCCGGGAATTTTCATGCACGTCTCAGAAGTGGCGCACCGCTCCGCACTGCTAAATGCATGTGAATTTTATTTAGTAAGGAAGCGTATTCTAAGAGGACTAAAATGAGCCATTTTACATAATTCTACAATTTTAAACAAGTAAATTAGGAGACAGTGTTTTCCTTTAGTTAGCGATACGCTTTTGCCCACTTGCAACTTTCGCTGCCACTTACAGAAATAAGCCCATGAAGAAAAAATATCCTAAGTACAATTTTTGAGGAAGGGTCTACAGACTTGAATGATTAAGTAATTATAAATATGGTAAAAAGGAATGTATGAAAATGACCTCTTTCCAGGAATATTTGCACCCACCTTGTCTTCAGCCAGAAGGAGCAGGAAGCACATTATATCATGCAATAGGCAGCACTTAGAAACACTTAAAAAAAATCTGAACCTTTGTCTAAGTTGTCCAGCATATAAGTGGGAAAAGTTACATTAGTACAATATGAGTTTTTATTGTGAGTCAAAAATGACTGTGATGCACTTTAGCAACAAGTGAGTCATTATAATGATTTTAAAAGTTAAAATGTGAGAAAGTCATCACATTACAAATTCTTCATTATTATTTTGAGACAAAAAAGCATAATTGACTTTTAAAGTCATAAATATTGGCTTGAAAGTCACACTTGAGGTAAAAAAAACTTGTTTTTTTCTAGAAAATATCACTACGAAAGTCCGTTGTAAATATGAATGAAATACAAATGTGACAGACAGACATTATTATTATTATTATTATTATTAGACTCAAAATCATAATTACGAATCTGAAAGTCGAAGTGAATTGCTACTCATGATTATGACAACACACATAAGCATGCACACACACACACACACACACACACACACACACACATGGTAGCTTTTGAAGAACTCTGAAAGACCTTATATCAAATTGCCTTCAGACTATTTACCCCTTAAGTTAACTATTATTAAATTTTAAAATCATGAGGAAGTTCTACTCAGTCACAATAGCTTGTTTCCTCGTCCTATTTTTGGTCACTGGTCACAGTTTGCTGTGGAATGGCGTCCTATTCCACATTCTAGCACACACACACACACACACACACACACACACACACACACATCCCAAGCTGCCCAAGGTCATTTTGAATATTCAGCTGTGAGGCCCCCTAGTGGCTCAGTGGGACCACTTGCATGGTCTGCATAGAGCCACAAAGGGCCCTGATTCTCAGCTTCTTTAATAAAACTAAATTACCAACAAAATAAGAGTGTAATTCTGATGGTACCCATCTTGTTTAATTGATGGAAAATGACACACACATCACATATTTTGAAGCACATTTCAAGTTGGATCAACCAGGAAACGAATCAACTCCAGTGTGGCTGGACAGACAATGTGATGCTCTTTTATTATCAGCACAGAACTCTCAGCCCTGTTCCATGTGACGGCAGGTCTTTGGTGCAAGTACCCGAGGGTTCACAACAGCCATTAAAACTAACAATGCTCAGAGCAATCATGAAGGCATTCCTTCAGCCAGAAACTAGAGAAAGGACCCAGCAGCAGTTCCCACAGTTTTATGAGATGGGAGGGGGGTCAGAACATTCTGTGCTTTAACTCATTTTGTTTTTCTCTTAGTTTGCATTTGACACATAATCGTTATGAAGCGAAACAACCAAATATTCTTCCAACATAGATCATTTACTGACAACTACAGGGGTCTTGTTGCTTTTCACACCTTGTCCTTCCAGTAGTGTCCCTTGAGGGGGTGGGGAGAAGGCACCTAAATAATTTCATAATGCCCCACCCCTTGTTCAGACAATCATGTTTTACACCATTTATTTTATTTGTTTCTATACTTAATTTAGGTCTTTATTTGTTTGTTTTTGCAAAGGATGTGGACAGAAAAACAAAGACTACATCAGAAGAGAGTCCCCTAGATGTTTTTTTAATCGTTTATATGATAACAACAGTGTAAAACAAGGTTGTTATGGCTTTCAGTCCCAGCAGTGTTGAGGATGCTGTCAGCCCCACACTAAATGAGACAAAACATACAAACATACACCATTTCTGGTGGCCCCACATACTTGGACCTCAGATGCAAAAACTGTGGATTTTTTTTAGAATGATCTTAAAACAGGGGTTGCAAATGACATAAATTAAAATTCAGAGCACAGGCAACGCAGCAACATCATCATCGTCTTCCTTCTCCTCCTCCTCCTCTTCCCCATCATCATCATCATCATCATCCTCATCCTCCTCCTCCTCCTCCTCCTCATCATCATCATCATCATCATCATCATCATCATCATCATCCTCCTCATCCTCATCATCCTCATCATCATCCTCCTCATCCTCCTCCTCCTCATCCTCATCATCATCATCATCATCATCATCCTCCTCCTCATCCTCCTCATCCTCCTCCTCCTCCTCCTCCTCATCATCATCATCATCATCATCCTCCTCCTCCTCCTCCTCCTCCTCCTCCTCCTCCTCCTCATCATCATCCTCCTCATCATCATCATCATCATCCTCCTCCTCCTCATCATCAGTAGTTGGTGAAGTTTTAGTCCCCGCCCCGCTGGGTAGTACCCTACTTACATCAAAAACAGAAGTCGGATGGGGTTTCTTTTGAAGTCTCCGCCCCTGTCGGTCCGGACGAGGATCCAGAACGGTTAGCGGGCAGAACAGAGAACGGGACCGAACCGCGTGGCCGTCCACGTTGCCCAAGTTCTCGTGCAGCTCCCGGCTAAAACAAGGTAAGAACCCAGAAAGAGACGGCGCGGTAGTTTCCGTTAGTTTCTCTCAGACGCAGACGGAGTTACTGCTTTGTTTCTGCCAGCCTCAGCGGGACACGCTCCTATATTTATCCCTGGAAAATTTAAGGGCAAGTTCAAGTTCCTGAGCCTGAAGTTGAGCCGATTTCTCTCTGAATCGCGGCTTTTCTGTCTCATCAGGAACTTTTCATTGATATTTTTATCTCACACTAAAGTACCTCATTAAAAAAAAGGAAAACATTCCTGCAATGCGGCTAGTTTTTTTCCATGCCAGACAGGAGTTTTTGTGTGGCAGGAGCTGAGTGGTTTCCTGTGGATCTGGATATCTGGGACCCAGTCAGACAAGTTTCCCGTCAGGAAGAGACGAGGATATGGGCTGGTCAGCTCAATTCAATGGCTGACTCATCCTGCAAGACAGTGCTTTTCCTCTAGTCCTGATCTGAATCAAGGTCTGCGGAAGAGGAACCCAAACCTCTTGTCACTTTATTTTTATTTTTTGCAATTTCTTCTTCCTGTAATGTTCTCATATACAGATTTTTAATAGTCATTGAGGCTCTTGCCTTCACACATCACTTCTGCTTTTGTGACTGAAATATGCTGGTAACATGCACGTGTCACTTTCTGACATGCCATGTCATGTTAACAGATATACAGACAACAGCTGCGGTTGACACATGATCTCAGTATTTAGAAGCCCACATAGTCTCGGTTATTCAGTCCTGGACTTCAGGAGCCACTGCCCAGCATGTTTTAGCTGTTCTTCTTTTCCAACTCATCTGGTTCAGTGATTGAATCCCCTTCTTTAGCGTGTTGTACCTCAGAAGCCCGTTAATGACTCTTTATTTACACAAGGAGTGCTGGTGAAGGGAACCATTGGAAATGTAACGCAGGTAGTGATGGAATTTCCCTCTTCCCTATGTTGAGTTTTACATTTAAACTAACAGCGTTCCCTGTTTTTCTGTGAGATTCATATATCAGAATTAGTACTTAATCTAATTATTTTCCAGAAACAAAGAAAAACACATTTCTAGTTGTTTTAGATGGTGGTGCGGTTTATTTATCAGATAAGCAGCAGTCATGACACTGAGGGCTTCCACAGGTTCGGGCCACTGGTGAAAGCTGACACATACCAGTAGGTATAAACCACTAATGCGTGCCCCCAAAAATATCTAAATATTCATTAGATTTTCTAAATAGTTGTCAGCATGTTGTGTGTCAGATAATCGGACACACAACATGCAGATATGCCCACATGTTGTGAACTTCTGTTTGATCTATTCCACAATAAGCTGTTCTCTTCCATGAGACTATCATGTTATCAAGTCTATATATTAAATATGAAAGTAAAATCAATGCTTTCATTTCAATTCAAGTTTATTTATATAGCGCCAAATCACGACAAGAGTCGTCTCAAGGCACTTCACATAATAAACATTCCAATTCAGGTCAGTTCATTAAGCCAATCAGAAATAATGTTTCCTGTATAAGGAACCCAGCAAATTGCATCAAGTCACTGACTAGTGTCAGTGACTATACAGCAATCCTCATACTAAGCAAGCATAAAGCGACAGTGGAGAGGAAAACTCCCTTTTAACAGGAAGAAACCTCCAGAGAATCCTGGCTCAGTATAAGCAGCCATCCTCCACGACTCACTGGGGATCGAGAAGACAGAGCACACACACACACACACACACACACACACACACACACACACACACACACACACACACACACACACACATACACACACACACACACACACACACACACACACACACACACACACACACACACACACACACACACACACACACACATACACACACACACACACACACACACACACACACACACACACACACACACACACACACAGGCTGAAGCTCAGGCGTTTGGTTAATGAAACTATTTCTGAGTTGCATCATGGTAAACAGCATCTACATTAATAATGAATCTTAAGATGTTTTCATGGGTCCACGTCATGCTTCGTGCATAAGCAGCGTTAACACACTGGCTGACTTTTCTACAGGGCTCTGAGCTCGAGATAAGTAATCTTGTTACGATCCATCTCCTTCAGCCCTCTATTACATCCAACATCATTGATGGATGGCCTCTCGCTCTATTTAATATTACTGCGGAGTGAAACACATGCAGCAAAATCCTTGCATCATAATGAACTCATAGGGGTCATTTCATGCAAGCATGCCCAACCTCTGCATTCCTGGAGCCGTAGGAAGATGCTTTTGTAAAGTTGAATAATAGAATGAAACTTCTGATTTTTGCAATAAGCAAAGCTGCAGCGAGGAGGATTTCTTGGCGCACTCTGCTCTCCATTGCCATCTACATCTGGGGCCATTTGGCTGAATACTCATGACCTTTTATAGTCAGTCACCATTGGACAGTTGGGTGTAAACATCTTTGTAATGGCTGCTCTAAAGCCTTCCTGTTATTATGACGACGCTAGGGAAGGATCAATAACAACCTTCTCCATGAAAACTTAATCGAAGGCTGAAGAACACAAGACCTCTTTAAAAAAAGCCGCGTGCTTTCAGAAAGCTACTCAGCAACAGCACTTTACAGCCAAGCCAATTAATGATAGCAGCTGGCTTGTGCAGATGACAAAGGATTATTTATCTGACTTTTAAGCAAACACAGTGAAGCCATAAATCCGTGGTCTAGATGCAACCCAGCACACACTTTTGTGTTTTATTTTGAAAATCCACCTCAGGTTTTTTCTACTTTAAAAGACTCTGCAGATACGTCAGTGCCAGGAAGAAACAGGATACTTGCAGCTGCAGCGCATTATAGAAGGTGAGCAGGCGGCATTATCTAGTTTTTTTTTTGTTTTTGTTTTTTCGTCACAGCCAGTTTTAATCATCATTCAATACCATGTTGTGTGTACTGATCCAGTGTTCTGAGATCTGTTTTGCGTCAGGATTAGTGTAAAACCACGCTGCAAGTTCAGACTCTTGGAATTAAAATACGTTACATGATTTGATGGTACTGGTCTTTAAACAATGACATTTGCTATACAATGCAAATAGGTGTGATAGCATCACCAATTTGAGGGAACGTTCTTCACGGGATATAGCGGAACGCTGATTATTCAAAGGTTGAGTGAGTAACTTGACCTTAAGTTAACTTTGATGCTGCAGCTGTGTGAGGCTTTGTGTTTGTTATAGTTGTGCTTTGAGCATGCGAGGATGCCCAGCAATCACGTAAGCTGATAATAATGACTATTAAACCGAAGCTCCAAACCACACACTCAAACGAGGGCAAGTTAGATGAAGTCCTGATTTAGCTCCCCCCCAAAAACAACAACAGCAACAACAACATGTAATTAATGCCAAAAGAAGCTTCTCTCCCAGTTCAGACCCCCTACCGGTTCATCTAGTATGCATGTACAGGGTGTGCCTCGGGGATTTCTGTCCAGGATTTCATGCAGTTTATTAGAAACACAAAATAAAGATCCCAGCCTGCCGTAATATGACCAGAACAGTGAACACAAGTTCCAGCCTTCATATTTGCCATACTGGTCATTATCTATAATTTCCTCTTTTGCTACACAGCAATAGTGCAAAGAGTCAATTACAGCATGGCAAAAATATTAAGCTTTTATTTATTATTTTTTATTTTTTTGATATTTCATTTTTCATTTATTGACATTAAAATAAAAATACAGAAAAAAATTGCTACATATTACTTATGTATTGGGGAAAAAAGGTCTAAGGCATATTATTAATGAAAAATAGGCTCATATTAGGAACAATTTAGTATTTATGAAGTTTTAGATTAAGCGCCGTTATGGCTGCTCTCGTGGTCTGCCTGTACCTGTTCTGACTATATGTGTGTAATCTTGGTCAGGCTGTTCAGTGGAGTCAAGTTCCTATGCTCTGGTTCGCTGGAGAGCTGACAATAAAATTCTCTCTGATTCTCTGAAAATGTTATCTTAGCTATTAACATTAGCTGCACAATAAAATGTGCCTAAACCTGGAAATGAAACTGATGCTGTGGGCTCCATCAAACCAGACAAACTAAAGACGAATGGGCGGCCAAGAATCATGCATATTTCATGTTTTTAAAGGTTGAAAATAGAGCAATTTAATAAAAAGCTATATTAAAAAAAACTCCCTGGGGCGTGTAGAGGTGTGCAGAATGAAGGTACAGTATTTCCTTCAAAAGTTTTATTTTGAAATAAAAATAATCAGGTGTTTATTTTGATGGGCATGACGCTACGGGTTGCCGAACAGTCAGCTCGGCACTGTGGAAAATGGCTGACCCTGCTTCTGAGGCCAGAAGATGTCGTTATCCTTCTCAGAAGAGGAGCGACCGTAAACTGTCTAGAACCAGAGTGAGTTCAGGTGACGTCTACAAAAGATAAAACCAAATTAAAAAATCCTCGTATCAGCAGCAAACCTGGTATCCCACCTGGAAACCTTGTTCTATTGTTGCAACAACAACCTCCACACACTAGATGTCGCTTTGGTGTTTGTGTTCTATAGAAACCTTTAATTTGCAGAAGTGGCATTCATCTGCACTAGTTGGAGACAGTAGGCGTGGCTAGTTGGCAAAAACGTTTTAGTTTGTGAGGAGACCCGACCTGACCATTGCCGCCGTCAGACAGACATCATTTAATGTCTGTAGTTGAATCTAAGTCCAGTTGGGTAGTGTGAACTGATTATGGACCCAACTGCAAACATGTTTAACAACAGCTAGGCCCAATCCCAATATTCGCACTTCCACCCTTGCGCCCTTCAATTGTGCGACCCCGACCACGGGTGCGAGTGAGTAGGGTGTCTCGATTCTCAAATGCGGATGTTGATCACACCCCTTTTGCACCCTTGATCTGCACTTCACGCAAGTCCGCAGTGATGTGGACTTTGGTGAAGGGTATTACCCACAAGTCATTGCTACTGGAGAAAAGGCTCAAGTGCGTTTTTGAAAATATGTATTTTCTAGGGCTGCACAATATATCGCAAATATATCGTTATCGCGATATCAGCATGCACAATATGCATATCGCAAAGAACAAATAAATATCGCAACGAATGGTCAGCTCAAATGTTTGCTACACATAATGCATTCTGTCCATCGAACGGAAGAACGATGCTTTTTTAACAAATCAAATAGAGCTCTTCACCCATTTGGCCAACTGGGTGGGTTCTCAT